GACGTCGTAAACGTTACGACGCTAGTGTTGTAGCTTGTTTCATTTCTCTCATACCTGTGTTGATTATGGTTACACATATATTTGTTTTGAACTCATTTTAACTCTTGTTTGACTATTTATTTTCTATTTTCTATCCTTCTACGATACCGCATAGGAACTTGATTTTGAGTATTATCATGCCGAGATTGAGAATATTGGAATTGGGTATGGAGATTTTGAGAAAAAGGATTTGAACACGAATTCTCTATTTGTGGTTAATAATGAAGAAAGGCAGTTCGATTTTTAGCATATTAGCATAGCCTTTACGTGGTAAGATTTTCTCTCCAGGTAAGCTTGTGGTAGTACTACAAGTAAGAGAAAGTCGCTTGAGAGTTGGAGGAAAATTCTATAACATCAAGTTTTGTGCGAGCAAACGGTAGAATTTCGAGGACGAAATTCTTTTAAGGGAGAGAAAGTGTGAGACCCCGAAAATTTACTTGTCTTTATAATCCTTATGTGAACTCACTTACCTTTGATTCTTGGTTCCTTTAATGGTTGAATTTGAGCTAAGGAAGTGAATTTTGTGAAGAAAAGGTTCATAATCTCAAGTTGTTAAAAAATCTAGAAATTTTCACAGGAGACTCTGCGCAACTTTGTGAAATTGGCTGTATCTTCGTATAGGAAAGTCGGAATTGAGTTCCGTTTATTGCATTTGAAACTAGACTCATAGAACTTCCTACGGTGTAAAATTTAGAATTTAAATCCATCTCTATAAATTCTAGAAAATTGGCAAATTTGACTAAAAATTCTATCCTGCACAAGTAAACATAGGAAAGTTGTAATAAATTATGGCTCAATTTGGACTAACTTATGAACTGGATCTCTTTGAGGTGTCTTCTAAAGATAATTAGTATTTGAAGTATAGGTTTTAACAGGCCAAGTTGTATGAATTTTTGATATTTATAACTCAATTATGATTTTTTCTAAATGAAGGGTATTAGTTAGGGTATGATCGTGTGCTCACTGGTGAGATGTGTGCACTAAATTTGGTGATAAAGGGTGAGTTTAGATGATATTAAATGTGTGAGTAGAAATAAGAATCATAAGTTAGTGAATTATAAGTTAAAACCCTAGTATACGCGATTTAAGAAAAAACGGGTTGAACCGACGGGTACCGTTTGTTACCGAGTGAGTGCACCACTTGAACACTACTTTATTACCTTAATTTCCTTACTATTAATTGATTAAAATCAGCCCACAAAATATCCTCAGGGAAGACGAAATATTGGACCAAAAATAAGGAGAAAAGAACAAAATTTGACTTCCAATCAAAGTGTGACACTTGTCACATTTGACCCAAATTAATTTCTATTATTTTAACCTTCTTGAAGCTTCATTTGAGCCTTCATTTTCAGCATTCCAGCCATTAGTTTGAGAGGAAAGGAGAGAGAGGAAACCATCTCAATCCATATTGAGCTTAGTTTGATTGAGTGAGAAAACAAGAAAACTAAACCGATTAACTCATAAATTGAGAGCTTAGGAAGCTTGGAGAGCTAAATTTTACAAGGAGAGGTGAAGGACATCTTTTGCAAGCCTTTTATTGAGGTATTATGGCTGTTCATCTTCTTCCTTTCCCTTAGTCTTGCTTAAGTTATGTAGTAACTTGTATTTTTGCTTTTGATGCCTAATCTAAGTGATTTTGATGATTGCAGTGGTGAATTTTGAGTTAGGTTTTGAATGGTTCACTTATAATTCTTGTTGTTTGGATGGTATATGTTGTATATAATCTTGTGTAGGAGGTTATGGTAGTGGTTTAAGCTAGAAATGTGAAGGTTGCACCTTAAATTCGTTGAATTCCAGATTTCAGGCTCTTCTCTGCCCTGTTCTGACCGGTTCTATCCAGCCATGATGGAGGCCGAATTAAGTTTAGCTCAAAACATGAAAGTTGTAGAAAATGACGTTTTATAGCTTCCTGTAAAATTCAGCTCAATCTAAGTACTGTAGCACATGAAAAGACAAAAAATACCCCTGACTGCCATAGGTAGAGTTCTGTGGACAGTTTTGACATTTCACCAATTTGGCTGCATTTTTTCACCCTGATCCGCAAGGAATTAGCGTCTGGCCAAAACACAAAAGTTGTAGTATTATGTTTTTGCTTTCCAACGCACTTGAAAATGCCTCGATCGGACTTTTGGATCCTGAGTTATTGTCATTTGAATACAGTACTGTTAACCAGCCAGACGGTGGAATTCTGGTTCTGCAATCGATAAATTTGACCTTGGAAATGAACGAATTTTCTGTTGATGTCTTCATGAGACTTGTAGTTCTCCGTCTCAGCTTCAAAATGGTTTAAAGTGTACACCAATCTGAGAAACGTAGCATCAGTTGTGACCGAAACACAAATAGACATCAAATTTGCCATTTAGCTATTTGCCTTTAAACTTGATTTCCGGATGCCTTGTTAAGACTTGTATTGTAAGCGGATTATTTTGAACCTAGTTGAAAGGCTATTGTGTAACATTGCCTATGTGTGACATTGGAGCTGATTTGAGGAAAATAGTGAAGCCATAAATGGCTGAAAAATAGGTAAACACAAGGGGTATGCCGTCCAAATTTTCACTAGAGGTATAAACTAGCATTTGGAGTTCAAGTTCTGTATTTTGCAAATTTGACCCGGATCCACTGAAAATTGGTCGACTTGTCTCATGAAAGTTGTAACCTTTTGTTTTAATTTCAAAAAGCTACCTAGTACACCTTGATCCGATAACCATAGCTCTAGTTATGATCCAAACCGTGTAACCCGTTTCATACCATTTTCATTTCTGCGCACGCGCGCATGCACTTCTTTGCCTTTTTGCCGCTTTGATCGTTTTAGTGTATTTTCTATTTGTGATGGTCGATTCACTGATAGTTGAGTATAATCTTCTGTCACAGGTAGTGACGAACCGGACGGAGTCAGTGGCCCGTATAAAATACCTTGATTTCCGCGCTAACTATTTTGAGTGAGTAATTGGGTTGTTTGATGATGTGAAATTGTCAAAGTGCTTTGTATATGTTAAATGGGTACTTAGGCGAGAGTGTATTTTATCTCACTCGACTTAAGGCCATCCTTTGTTTTGATTTCATATGTGAGAATGCATGCCTTTATTAAGTATCACCTTTTTGCTGTGTGTTGATGGGGTGATTCCATGACTTGAGTTGAACGCCTTTTTATTTGTGTTGTTGGAATAAGTACTTTGTTGAGAGATATCATCTATTGAGAGATTGGATATCTCAGGGTTTGGTTCCAACCCGGTTCCAAAGATAGACGAACTATTCGAGCCAACCGAGACTTGGTCGAAGATAGTTCCATGCTAACCTTACAATTTCGTTCTTTGTTAAAGTTTTGATTAAACGTAAGTTATTTTGTTTCGCTCGAGCTGCTATGTGTTGTTGACTGGCCAGCGGGAGTGGATAAGGTGAATGGGGAAAGTTAAGTGGAGTCTACGGTCTATGAGTTTTTTGGTTGACGGAATGTCAACAGGTGGTCAAGCTCGCGGAATTGAACTGTCTTTGAAGCCACCCGTATCTTACCATTGTGATGTTACATTTTTGTCTATTGATGTGAAATATCTAGCTTACATGTTTATTTGGATGTGATTTTACATTTTTACCCCGATTATTCACTAAGCATATAACTTACCCCATTCCATTTGTTTTCCTTAGCAGGGGGTACGAGCGAGACGTGAGACTTGTACAGAGTAGTCTAGTTTTGAAATTTTGAATTGTACTCACGCTAGCACCCGATTAGGGTTGATTGAACTTAGATTGTAAATGCGTTAATGTATTTGGGCGTGTATAAGTCTTGTAGCTGGATTTGAGCATCAATGTATATATTAGGTTTGAATTTGTTGTGTTACTTATTTGCTATGAATGTAAGTTATTTTCTCGAGTTTCGAGTGAGTGAGTCCTGGCGAGAGTTGGGCAGGCGATCCGCTAAACCCTTTGGTACGCCCTAGGAGGAGGTGGGGTCGTCACAGATATTAATATGCAATTGTTTAAAAATTTTAACAAACTTTTCAAAATCTTTATGAAACTTATATGGCTTGAGTCTTTGAGAAAATGGAACCACCAGAGGTATTGGAATAGTACTTGAGGATGAAGGTTGATCTTCTTTTGGTTTCTGTCTACTATACTCCCCCACACTTGCCTCTTGGTCCACTCTCTTATTTTCTTGTTTTTCACTCTCACTTTTCCTCCTACTTTCAACCACCGGAGGATCCTCTAGTTGTTTACCACTATGAAGAGTAATTACTTTAACATGCTCCCCCGGATTCACCTCCGTTTTACTAGGTAATTCTCCTTGATTTCTATTGTTGATCGAGTTGGCAATTTGACCAATTTGGACCTTTACATTTCTATACATCCCAGTCAATTGATCCAATCTCTCCTCTATTCATTAAAATATCTCCGAAGTTCCCTTGGTAAGTTTCTTCACTGCAATCTCCCAACCAGGTTTAGTATCTGTCTGTGGTTGCCTTGGTTAGAATCCCGGTTGATTGATCGGTCTTTGAGGGTTGTTTTGATCTTTCCATCCAAAATTTGGATGGTTTCTCCACCCCGAATTATATGTGTTCGAGTAGGGTTATTTTGAGCATTTCTATTGTAATTGTTAACAAATTGAACCTACTCAAAATCAACACACTCATTAGTTTCATGGTCACTCCACATGTAGAACAACAATCCACATGTACATTAGATGAATTTGGACGAACACCTGCTTGTCTACTTAGTAATTTCATTGCATTATTCATTTGGCCACTTAACATGTTAAGAGTATCCATTTCGATCATACTTGCTTGGTGTTTAGAATTATCTCGCTCATTAGTCCATTGGTAGTTGTTTGCCGCCATCTCTTCTATCAAAATCTAAATTTCTTGGGGTAATTTACACATTAAAAGTCCGCTTGAGGCTGCATCAATAGTAGTTTTAGTAAAAAAGATAAACCATTATAGAAAATTTGTATAACGAGCCAATTGGGAAATCCATGGTATGGACATTTCCGTAACAAATCTCTACACCTTTCCCACGTCTCATATAAAGATTCCCCGTCTTGTTGACTAGAACTAGTGATGTCCATTCTAAGTTTAGCTTTTGCCTGGTGGAAAATAGTTATTCATGAATACTCTAGATAAATCATTCTAAGTGATGAAAGTGTTAGGAGCATGAGAATGTAGCTAAATTTTGGCTTTATCTTTTAAAGAAAATGGGAATAACCTTAGGTTTATAGTATCTTCATTAACTCCATTCATTTTAATAGTATCATATATTTCCAAAAATATGTCTAAGTGTGCAATTAGATCCTCTATGGCATTACCTCCAAATTGAGATTGTTGAACCATTTAAATGAGTAATGGCATAATTTCAAAATTGTTAGCGTTTAACGTTGGTCGTGCTATACTCATTTTTGATCTTTGTGTCCCTGGTAGAACAAAATCTCTAAAAGCTCGCCTATTTGCTTCGTTTTCCATCATCATCTTCTTCAAAAGGCAACTCTGTAGCGGTTCTCTCTATATGTTAAACTTCTTCTCCTTCTTGTGGTATACGCCTTCTTTGTTTTCGCAGGGTCCTTTCAATTTTCAGATCAAAAGGTGTGATTACGTATAATGTCCGGTGCATACATTACAAAAATGGAAAATATAGATAATGTAGTATTTATATTGCAAAAATAAATAAAAAATCAATCCTAAAGAATAAGAAAATTTCCACTAAACTAATATAAATGTCTAAATTAATAAATTTGTTAGGCCCTAATATTGCCGCCCCGGCAACGGCACCAAAAACTTGATGGGTTTTTGATATAAATGTAATTTTAATTCAAAACACACCCGTTTGATTTCAAGTATACAGGTCAACTAGTAGTTAGAATATATTGTGCCAATCCCATGAGAAGCAACTTTACAAATACTAGATCCTGTACTAGATCTATTATTTAGACTAACTTTCAATAACAGCAATAAAAATAACAATACTAACTATCTAACCAAATTAACTAGATAACTTTTAAGTAAACAATGGAGAAATGTCATTAAATACTTGAGTCTAGGGAAATAGAGTCCATTTATGACACAAAAGATACAAGTGAATAAATTTACCTCTTGCAACTACTCTTGTTTAACAAGGGATTCATTTTCATATTTATTAAAACTCATTCTCATGATGAAATGGTTTAGAATAGTCTAGTTTTCCCTATTCTCATGGTGAATAACTAGATCTACTCTTGTTTTTTTTCATGAAATGTCATGTTAAACCACTTAAGTGTATCTCTATTCTCATGAGTCTAATTCTTAAGCTCCATTTATGTTGGTCCATTATTATTATCAACTTTTATTGAATAATAACAACTAAAAATTTACTATTGGTGATCAAGCAACAACAAGTGATAAGCATACATAAATGGACAAGTTAATACATATATAACAAGTGTAAATCATATTCAACTCATATCAAATGGCCATAAGTTTCATTTAATCCCTAGATCTAGAAATTTAGCTAGTCATGTGATAAAAGACAATAAAGAGCATAACTTTATTGCATGCAAACATAATGAATCACAAGTAAAGAAAAAGATAGAGAAAGCTTAGCCAAGGTGGTGAACAAGCTCCAAAATCTTCTATTTCTTCAACAATACAAGTGATACAATGAATTCTTCAAGTTTTTCTTACAAGTTTCTAGTTAGAGGGAATGAGAAAAAGCTAAAACTATTGTTTACCAAGAAACTAGCAAAAACTCTCTAGAACTCCTTCTGTCCTCAATGATTCTTGTATATATATTGTTAAAGGAGTCAAAAGTGGTTAATGATAAGACATAAAGCTCATTTTCTCTTCCCTAATGACTCTTGAACATGTGGAGCCGAAATTCTTGTTTGGATTGAGTTGGAAAGTAGTATAAAAATAGAGCAAGTTGCAAAAAAATTGGGAAGAATACGTGGCTCCTCAATATGCGACCTAAGCCCGCGTATTGAGGTCGGGTATTTGTTTCTAGCTCGTTTCCTGCTTGTTTTCTACTCCAATTCATCTCTAATACCTCATCCAAGATGTTCATGTTGTTGTTCATGCATTCCACCATTGATACTTGCATTTGATGCTCTTCTACTTTCCAAATTGCCGTTGGATCAAGTGTTAATGACTTTGAATCGAATTCCTCTTGAACCAATGTTGAGAGTTCACCTCAATTTCTGCAAATATAACCAACTTTTACACATTAAGTTGCTCAAATAAAAACTTGCAAAATATAGAAGACTAGGGAGCAAGTTACATCTTAAAATTTCTTAATTTGTACTAAAACACACACACGAAATGCTACTAATAACCATATATAATAAACCCTTATCACAGCACACCTGAATGAGCATAATTTTCAATATAACAAGTAGACATCCAAACAAGTAAAATCTCTAAAGCAAATTTGTAAAGCCGATGTTTCACACAACTTGCATGGACACCATGTAAACTAGAATGAAGAACTTCAAATGACTTAAAAAAACAAATGGACTCAACCATAGACTCTCACAACCCAAGTTGACACTAGAATGATTAGCACAATGCAAACAAATGACATTATTAATAGGAGAAACAAATACAAACTTAATGGACTCAAAATGACCACACATGTAGACCACTTTATAAACAATGCCAATTAATTCAAGCACTTTACCATGTGTCAATAATGAAGAATCACATCCTTTCAAATGTATCAAGACACACTAGAAAGAAATGTTACCTTTTTAGACAAAACAAACGTCTCATTTCTACCAAGATGAGTAGGAACTATAATGAAGAATATTACCTCATCAAAGAAAGAACTAATAGACAATGTATCGACTTTACCCACCATTAGATCAATTAACCATTTACCATGTGTGCTTGACTCAATAAACCATGGATCATCAACACCTATACGTGAAATTGCAATATTTTAGGTGACTTCTTAATCTGCAAAATAGCAACAAATATACTAGGCAAAATAAAGTAAGGATGGTTAGTCAAAAGTACAAGATCTTTTCCCTCATTTTTTAAAACTAACTCACTCTCACTCATTTTAACACTCAACTCAATTTCTTTCTCTTTTTGAATCAACTCTCTACCACAATTAATGGCTCACTCACTCAATGCTTTTGAATTTTCACTCTCTTTTCCTTGAACACTCCCTCAGATGTTACATCTCTAACACTTCTGACCAATATTGTCCCACAGTTAACCACCCCATTGGACCGTGGGTTTTGTTCCTAGAGGTGGGTGAAACCACAACAGATGAGGAGCCCAAACCTGCAGGTCATGAAGCCCCGCACCCCTCCAAAAGGCCTCGGTCAGGTAGGGGGACACCACGACAAGATATTAAAGCCGCCCAGGACTTCCTTTCTAGTCGATGTGAGATCATTACAATCTACCTCCCTTAGGGAACGCAGCGTCCTCGCTGGCACACTGGGGTCGGGAGTCGGTTCTGATACTAATTCTAACACCTCTGACCAATATTGTCCTACAGTTAACTATCCCATTGGGTCGTGGATTTTGTTCCTGGAGGTGGGTGAAACTACAATAGATGAGGAGCCCAAGTCCACAGGTCATGAAGCCCCACACCCCTACAAAAGGCCTCGGTCAGGTGGGGAACACCACGGGATATTAAAGCCGCCCAGGACTTCCCCCTAGCAGATGTGGGATCACTCAACTCTAACACCTCTGACCAATATTGTCCCATAGTTAACAGCCCTATTGGGCTGTGGGTTTTGTGAGGACACGTAAATTTCTTATATTTTTTTCAAAAGAAAAATGCCCTTTTATTTGGAAATATATTATTAAAGCCCTACTACCCAATTATTCTCTAATAAGTGCAAATGAACCTAGAAAGTAGGGTTTCACTCTTTGTTTTCAAGATTGGAGCAAATTAGGGTTTTCGCGATTTTTCGCCGGATGAATTTTCGGTACAGAGCAAGGACCAAATTTGGTGATTAAAAGTGACTTTTAAGTGAGAAATAATATGTGATTAGAAACCATGATAAAAATTAGTGAATAGGAAGGAAAAACCCTAGTACGTGTGTTTTAAAGAAAAAACGGTGCGAACCGACGTGTACCGTGTACTACCGATTGAACACACTACTTGACCACCACTTTCTTACCATACAAGCTCATTAATATTTGAGCAAAATATCTCCTAAATTCCAGCTAAGCTTGACCAAAATTAGAGGCTGAAAATACAAGAAAAAAAAGGGAATTTTACTTGGTAAGGGTTGTGACAAGTGTCACACCATTAGAGGCCATTGACGAAGACTTTGTCCAACCTTCTTGTCCCCAAAATTGCACCATTCTTCCTCATTATTTCTGTTGAAGAGCCGAGAGAGAGAGAGAGAGCAAAAACAAGAGAAAAGCTTCGCCATTCTTCTTGAATCAAGTCACAAAGTGAGGAAACAAAGAAACTAAATCGATTAAAGGCACACTTGAGTGTTTATTGAGTGAGCTATTGGTGAAATTTTGAAGGGGAAGGCTAGGGTTGCTCTTGGTAGACACTAAGCAAGGTAAGGATGATGATTTCCCCAACTTTGACTCTTAATCTTGTTTAAATTAGCTTAGCATCTCAAGATTGTGATGAATTACGGTTGTTATCATGTTTTGGGTAATTTTCCCTTTTGTTACATGAGTTAGGGTTTAATAAATTTCTGCCTAAACTTGATATATGATGAATATATGTTGTATCCAAGCTTATATAGGGGGTTTTGGTAGCAAGTGGAGTAAGAAATTAAGAAAGTTATCATTGAAACCAAAAGATTTCAGATTTCTGGAAAATTGTCACTAGGTTCTGCCCGTTTTTATTGCCCTATGTTAGAGACCGAATTGGGCTTGGAATAAAACATAAAAGTTGTAGAGAATGGTATTTTATAAGTACCTACAAAATTTCAGCTCAATCGGAGCAACGTAGCCTGTGAAAAGACCAAAATACCCTCACTATTTTAAGGTTTTTCCCAGTAGTCCGTTTGGTCAGTTTATCCAGTTTATCAAGTTTATTCACTAGGATCGTACTGATTTAGCCTTTTTCTAAAACATGAAAGTTTAAATACTCTGTCTTAGCTTTTAAACGCATCCAAGAACACCTTAA